GCCCCTCTCCACACTCTGTTAGCAAGTCCTCCCCCCCTCCCCGGCCACAGCCCAGAACCACCGGATCCTTTCTTCAGGACTGCATGGATGCAGCATCTGCCCCCTCCACACTGAGAAGTGAGGGGGAGGACCCAGGTTTGGCTGGGGCTCTGGTTGCCAGGGTGGACCAGGCAGCAATGGATGCAGTTCTTCCGACAATTCTCCCACTGGGCTGCCATCTTTCTTCTCTGTAACCAAGGAAGCCGAGTCAGAAACGTTCCTAGGACCCAGCTGACGGGCAGTGGAATATCATTCAAGTCCATCTCAGGGTTTCCAAGTCACCGCATTGTCTCCACCGCCCAGTCCTAATAGGCTCCATTGTTCCAGCTTCATCAGGAATAATGAACCTGACCTTAGGTCACATCCAGGAACACGTGAATGTATGGATGTGGTTGTGTTCCAGTAAAGTTTTATTTGCAAAACTTGATATGCACATTGAATACAGCCAGCAAGCTGTCCTCTGCTGACCCATGAGAGAGCTTGACTACGTATTCAATGTTGTATCTGCCCTCCCCATGTTTTACAATATCATTGCTCCATGTGTGTGCCTCAAAATTTTTCCCTTCAGTATATTCCTGGATGGTAATTTTGGGGTGAGATGGATGCAAGCTTCTGCCCAGTATCCTAGTGTGTAAATCTGAATAGTTTCTCTTGTGTCTTTGAGCTGCCTGGATTGTCATCTGGAATGGGAAGGAGGAGACTAAGTGTACAGGATGGCATGACAATTCCAGTGGTCCCTTATTGTGGGACTTTGCATAGTGCTTGTCATGTGTCTTTGTTAAGTTGAATTTCTTTAAATCCCAAGGCCTTGGGAGCAAAGAGTAATAATAGATAATGGTAATATCTTTAAAAAGAAGCTATTACAGATCAGTGTCTACCACAAATGAATGAATGAATGAATGAATGAATGAACAAACGAACAAATGAATGAATGAGCAAGCAAATGGAGCTTTGAGGCTAATGGCTCCGACTCTTCATGTGTTAGTTTTTTGATCTTGATCAATGTGCTTCCCTTTCTGCGGTTCAATGTCTTTGTGAAATGAGTGAAAGGAACACTATGTCAGCAGACTTTCACTGATGAGGAAACCGAGGCACAGGCTTTGAGGCTGCCCAGATGTTGCCACGGTATATGTTGAGATCAAGGTGCCCACCTGCAGGCTCCTCATGAAGCTGAGGTCACATGGATGGAAACTTCGGGTTCAGTAAATGTTCACTCCTTCCCATGAGCAGGCCGGCCAACCTCTAAGCCTGGGAGGAGGAAACTGAAGACAGAAAAGGTCTGCAGCCACTTCAGAGACTGCCGGCTGGGAGGTAGCTGCTCACCAGCTGTTGTTTGCTATCTCTGGCACTTAATAGAAGCTACCTGTGTGGGTTCCCTGGGGAGCAGCTGTCCAGAGGGCCACTCCCCAAACAATCACCCCTCCTTCATAGAGGTCCATCCACATTGAGTGCCAAATAGAAAATTTGCCTTTTCACTGCAGCCTTTGGGCTGAGAGCATGCTACCTGGGCTGTTAGCAATCCCTGGAAAAGGACTCATGGAAGGAACACTAAGCCCAGCATGAGCTTGCACTGGATAAACTCTACCAGCTACCTGCTGCAGATCTTGAATTCAGTTCATCAGTACCATCACCGTGGACATTTAACCTGTCTAGCATCCTTCAGGGTGGATGTGAGTACCCTCACGTTACAGATGTGAAAGCTGGGGCAAATATGCATTTGTGGAGTAACAGGCTGATGGGGTGATATCTAGCTTAACCTGTGATCCTAACCAGCAGCTAGGATGCTTGGAGAAGAGGAAGGGCTTTGAGAGCTGATCTGGCATGGAGCCAGGCAGTGGGAGACCGCACCAGCACCAGTCAGCTGTGCTTACATGGGCACTCACTTCTTCCTAGGGAGCATTCCATCCAGCCAGACACCTAATGTGGGCTTATCAGGGACTTGGCAGTGGTGGACCTGTGCTAACTACAGGAGACACATCATTAGTTGCAATAGTTAGACCTATACTGTCTTGGGTGTCATCTGATATTTAAGGCACCATGCATGGATTAGCTTTTTTAATCCTCACATCAACTCCATAGACAAATATCACTGTCTTTACTTTGTAGACGAGATCATGGCACAGAGAAGTAGCCTAGCATCCCATAACTGCTCCACATAAGAGCCAGTCCTGGGACCCAGCGGGAGCTCTGTTCACTTGCCTAACTACCCATGCCCTGCTCAGGATTTCCCTGCCCTGGTGTAAATTAGATTCCTCAGGCAGGCGGCAGCGGGGTCGCTTGGGGCTCGTCTCCCCAAGCCCTAGTTTTGGGAGCTGGGTAAAAGCTTCTGACACCAAATGAAGATGGCAGTAACACTATCTGAAAAAGAGGTCTAATATTTTTAATATACTTATAAGATGAACAGGGATAGAAGTTCTGGGAGCGTGACTAGCTTCTAAGAGAGCGCGGTTTTCCTTTTCCTTTCCTTAAATATCTCACCTGTTCTACTTACCCTTGTCCAGGCCCCCTTTGGGCGTGGACAGTATTTTAGGCTCACCCCTACATTTCTCCTTTTAAAGTAGACATATTAAAACTCAAAGGAATTTAACTCAATCCTATGTGGTGCAGAGCAACTGGGCATTGAGAGTGTAATATGGTTGGTGTCATGGAACCAGTAAAGAGTCAAGGCCATGCATAGAAGCTTGGGCCATGTTGTATCATGGCCTTCACTGCTGTGAACCATTTGGCAAAAGTTGTCACCCCTCTGAGCCTCAATTTCTTTATTTACAAAATGGATTGTCAGTGCCTATTCTATCTGCCTCCAAGCATTTTTATGGAGACTAAATGGGGTGGCAGATGGGAACAAGATTTAAATGTAGAAAAAAAAGCAGTGGGCAAGCGCTGGCTACTGAGCCAATGTAAAAGTTTGGTGTCAGCTTGATAAATGAATTGTCCTAGTGGCCCTGCAGATTGACTCCGTGAGTGACAAATGGCTCCCTTCAGGAGCTCTGTTGATGTTTTTAGGGTTCCAAGAAGGCTGTTATCCTTGGCCAAGCCCCGTGCTCCCATTCCTAGAGTTATTTTGCATCTGATTTTGTATGATCCTCTAACACTCTTTAACCAATCATTTGGTGATGTTTTTGGGAGAGAGGCCTTGTGTTCAACCCTGCAGGGAGAAAGAGATGAGACTGGGATTGTTTTTGCCTCCAGGAACTGGTGGTAAAAAGAATTGGAATAATGCTGGCAGCATCAGCAGTTACTGGACATTTACCTGATAGTCACAGGTTCTGTGAGTTACCACTCCAAAAATGTTAAGTAACTGACCCCAAGTTCATGCTGATCTGAAGTTACAGAACAGGGTTAAACCTGAAAAAGAAGATGAGAGTAGAGACAACACCATCACAACACAAGGACATGCATCCTAATAGAGGGGTGTTGGTGAAGGTTGGTTGATGGTTGTCTGCCATTGCTGTTGTTGATAACGATGCCAGTGAGAGCAATGTTGATGACAAGAACAATGGTGATAAGATTGTGGTGGTAGTGGTGGTGCTGATGATGGTGCTGGTGGTAGTGATGATGATACTGGTAATTGTGGTGATTATGATGATGACAGCAATGCCGATGATGGTCACCAGGACTGTGATGGCAGTACTGCTGTTGTTGATAATAATAATGTATTCATGATGATGGTGATGGTGGTGAGATTGTGGATGGTGATGGTGAGTCCAGGTAATGATGGTGACAGTGGTGATGGTGATGGCATTGAAGCTGTTGCTATTGTTGATAATGATAATGAAATTCACGATGATGATGGTGACAGTAATGGTGGTGAAGATGGTGGCTATATAGTGGTGACAATGGTGATGGCAGTGCTGTTGATGATGACGATATTCACAGTGGCCTTTGAGATGGAGGTGATGGAAATGATACTGGTGGGATGGTGGTGGTGGTGGTGATGATGATGATACAGATAATGGTAATAAAATAATGGTGATGATGATAATCCTCTGTTTCTCATTTGTCATTTGTCGGGCTTCTGCTTTGGACCAGATCCTGAGCACTTTCTGCTATCTCATTTAATTCTCATAATGCCTTTCCAGGTACTCCTAAGAATTGTGAACTGGAGAAAGAACACAGCCTGCCCTGGGCTGTGTGACCAATTTGGATGGGTCTTGAATATTAGTGGATTCACTAAAGAGTTAATGCTCTTTCTATCCTTAGATCCCTGACCAATAGACTCAAATCCATGAGAAGTGAATAGTATCGTAAATGAGTGTGCATGCAATGTGGTGACCATTGTGAGTGCCCAAATACAAGTTGATTGCAAAGTGTGTGTTGCTGTTTTTTCTCAATGAGATGCTAAGTACTCAGTCACCAACAGGAGGAACTTTGAAAAATAATTTCAAAGATGGGTCTATATTCTGACAATGGAAACAGCATCCACCATTCTGTACATGTTCAAAGTGCTCTGCTCAGTGACAGGCTTGGTGATCCTGTGGAGAAAGGAGGCCATACTCTAGGCTGAGCACAGAAGCCTGGGTATTGGACCTGCGCCTCTGTGTGCCTTTCTTACTGAACTTCATCTCTGTGAGACCTATCACCAGTGGCTAAGAAGGCATTAGATGCTATTGTGGATGGATGGATGGATGGATGGATGAGTGGAAAAAGAAAGAGTGAATTACAATAACAGGTGCTCAAGAAACCATGAAGGGTGTTTTCCCAAGGAGAACATGACCTTGAGAATTGCATAGACACAAGTCAAGCTGGGATACCTTCAGGTCTGGGAAGGAGGAAGCCAACTTTTCATTCTGTGAGTGGAATACTGAGGTGGGGTCCTATACCCAGGGAACTTGGTCTCGTACCTGGAGTGACTGTGTGGGGAGGAATCCATGCCTGGGCTTTGCTTTGGATGCATGTTTCAATGTTTGGTGAAAGTTGACAGATGGTAGAAGCATCACATTCTTCTTCTCTGCCCCACACAGGCCTCCAACAGCCTGGAAGCTCTTCAGAACGCCTGGCCTAGCTTGACCATGACGCCACAACGAACTCCTGACAGGTGAGTTCTCCCCATTTCCTCCTGAACATGTGCAACACAGACTTGGATCAAAGGCCTCCGGGCCATGTTTCACAGGTAGGAAGTAGATAGGAGATGTGAGACTTTGCAACAAAGCCATCCAAATGTCTGGGGGGCATTATTAGTATTTTGCTGCTGTCTGTGTGTGATAAGGAGGTCATTCTGGGAGGGGAGCTAGGAAGTCAATTCTGACTCAGACGGCCTTCCCTCTCAGCATAGTTTCAGTGCATGCCTGCAGAGCTAGGCTGGCAGACTCAGTGAGTGAACCTCCAGCATCCACCTCGCCCAGGCCCAGGAGGAACAGAGCGGTGCCACAGCTCAGGGCCCAGACTCCTGCACTGTTTTGCTAGCCCTGCATCCACAGAGACGCTGACCAGGGCAGGATGCACACAGTATGTATGCGTGTGCACGGTGGAAGAACCTACGTCCCGTCTATCAAATCTTGCTTGAAGTCAGACTCAGACATTCACCAGCCCCAGGCCTTTCCTCTTCAGGGCCACTTATCTTCATATTTTCTGTTCCCTGCTGGACTCCATCCTCTGTTCTGTGCATTGAGGCACAGAGATGAAAAAAAGAAAATCAGCATTACCTTCTAGAAGCCTCCATTGCCACTGAGGAAATGGATATACAGTTAACCACAGTACACCAGAGCCTGTGAAGCAGGAGGGGTCTGCTCTATCTTAACTGGCTACTGGGCCATTCTTGGGAATACTATTTGCATATGACACTTGTACTGGGTTTTGATGGATGAGTAGAAGTTCACCAGGTACTTCTGACCATGGGGGAAGAGTCCCCTAAGGTCAGAGGATAGCAAGTGCAAAACTAGAGTGGCTGGGATTAGGCCGGGCACATGAGGGAGGGTGAGCAGAAGTAAATCCTGGAGGGCTGCAGGACCTAGTGTACGAAAGGGAGTCAGCTTCTGTGTCAACAGGACAGCAAACAACAGCTCTGTGGCTCTGAGAGGGGTAAGAGCTGACGAGAGGTGCTGGTCTTAGTTACCACTGAGTGGTCACAGGGACTCTGGGCATTGTGTCCCTTGAGGGTGTCTGTGGCCAGGCTTTCCCAGTATAGCCGCCCTTCAGAGAAGCTGCAGGTACATCAGACCCCATCCTGAGAGGGCAGTGGCTCTGGCCATGGGCTACCGGCTTGCCCTTCTCCATCGACACTGGCCTCCTCTCCTCTGGCCCCTGAAGCATCATCAGCCACCTTCCCAGAGCAAGACCTTTTAAGGGTTCAGTGCTGGTATTCAGTCCTAGCCCTCCTTTCTGTCTCCCTTCCCTGTATGACCCCTGTGCAGTGAGTGACTCTTCACAGTTTTGAAGTTTTACAGTTTCCTCTCTTGGCAGAGGTCCAGACACTGTCACAGCTGTCACCCTATTGTGCAGGAGAGAGAGAGAGAGAGAGAGAGAGAGAGAGAGAGAGAGAGAGAGAGAGAGAGAGAGAGAGAGAGAGAGAGAGAGAGAGAGAGAGAGAAAGGATGTGGAGCCAGAAGGAGCAGCATCCGGGACTCCCTGTCCTCCCATGGAAAGCGGTGTGATTAGAGACAACTCAGTCTCCCCAGTCACAAATACCTACTCTTAGATGGCTCAGAATCCAACAACAGTGTGGCGTGAGCATTGGGTGCAGAGCCCATCACAGGCTGAGGTTCACATGATGAGCTCTTGGCTGGCTCATGCCCCTGGTGTGGGGCAAGTGACTGGAAAGACCTGTGAGACTCAGTTCCAAGGAATCATGAGCCATAAGCACGTGCACCGAACAGGAAGTGATGCTTTCCTTGGCAAAATCCACTCACCAGAACTCCAGCCTAGGTGCCAGTGAACCCTGGAGGCCAGGCAACAGGAGGATGCTATATAAACAAGGGAGGGACTGCACTGTGAGAAAGACGCCTGGGCACACAGGAGAAACCAGGCGGGCACAGAAGAGAGGCCATAGTGTGCTGCCAAGGGCCGTGGCGGGGAGAAAGCCTGAGGAAGGGAGGGAAGGAGAAGGTATGTGGGCTGCTGCTGGAGGGATATATCAAGAAGCAGTTCAGTGTGGCCGTGGGAGGGAGCAGTGGGCTGCCCAGGCAGTGGACTGCACAGTGCACTCAGACACATGAAAGGCCAGGCTGTGGGAACCCGCACACGCATCGGGGCATTGTTAGCTGGCATTTCTGGTGACCTGCCCAGCATGGCTTCTGTCACAGAGAGGCATTCCAGCCTGCTGGCTCAGATGTCATCTGGAGAGTCACAGCTGGGCCAGGGCCCACAGGTTAAGGGGAATGGCGCTGAGTTCCGTGCTGAGGGCAGCAGGGCAGCCTTGGGAGCAAGAGGCTGCAGGGCTCTTGTGGCTTCCTCGTGGGGCCATAGGCCTTGGCTGCCCTCAGACTGAAGAGGCCTGGGGACATTTCTGTGTTCGTGCCAAGCACATGGAACAATAGATGCGGGACTCAGGCCCTGTGCAGTCGGTGCTATGGACCATAAATAGAGGTCCAAGGCGGGGTGGTTGCCCCAGGAGACAATCTGAGCCAGGTGGTCACCACAGGGAGGATTATAGCTAGGGTATGCTGAGAACCAGCTGTGTGCCAGACACTGCCTCAGTTCTTCATGTGGCTACACTTCCTGCCTGAACAGCTCTATAGAGAAGATCAGAATTGATGAACAGAGAGGCTGTGCAACCAGCCCTAGCACACACAGCCAGCAAGTTGGCCTAGGCAGGTTGAACACAAGCAGTCTGGCTCCAGATAGTCTCTCTTGTCTACACTGACCTACAGAACAGGTCTGTCTATACCACAGGTACCTACAGAGTTGAAGCCCTGTGTGCCGGCCTTGCTTTACCACATAACTAGGAACTCAACAAAGACATGTTCACTAAAACAAATGCATGTTAAACCGGTCCTGAAAGAGTTAGGGCAGAGCATAGATAGGGGAGGTATTCTTGGACAGAGAGGGAAGCTGAGGCAAAGGCCTCAGGTGAGAGACCCTGGTGTCACCAAGAGGCACTGTCAGTCCTGGAGTCTGGAAGGCTGAGGGGCCGGATGAGGAGGTGTCCTGCCAGCAACCCTTCTCATCTAAGGACTAGTGCGTGCTGCCCTCCCCTCCCAACCTTCTGCGCCCCATACCCACACGGTCACTTCTGCCAGGAAGGTTCCCATGGGTCAGATCGCAAGAGCCCACAGCTGAGGAAGGTGAGACTATTCACCATTGTATGGGAGCACGCACCTGCGATCATTCCAACACTGGGACGAGGGAGGAGAGTCGGGAGTTCAAGACTGATTCCATGTGTCGGGGGGGGAGGGAGGGAGGGAGAGACAGACAGACAGACAGACAGGGAGAGAGGGAGAGACAGGGAGAGAGAGAGAGAGGGAGAGACAGGGAGAGAGGGAGGGAGTGAGAGACAGACAGACACACACACACACAGAGACAGGGAGAGAGAGACAGGGAGAGAGGGAAGGAGGGGGAGAGAGAGAGAGAGACAGACACACAGACACACAGACAGACACACAGACACACAGAGAGAGACAGGGAGAGAGAGAGAGAGAGAGAGAGAGAGAGAGAGAGAGAGAGAGAGAGAGAGAGAGAGAGAGAGAGAGAGAGAGAGAGTTTTCTAATCTAGTGGTTGTTTCTGGGTGATGAGGACAGGGAAGGCGGGGGAAAACCTGGCTTTCCCATTGCTTTTGCAAAGTCCTTCTTCCTCCACACTTCTTGGGCTGCCGACTGAAAGCCAGAGCTGGGCTTTGGCTCGGTGGCTGCCTGGCTGGGCATCCTTGGCAAATCAGCACAGGATGATTTGCCTCCACTTCCAACTCCATACAGCAGGAATGGAAAGCACTTGTGGGAATGAATAGGGTGGGGTTGGGGAGCCGCCACAGCACTGGACTCAAGGGGAAGTTCCCAGGCTCACAGCCCCCGTTACCCACAAAGCAAGGGGGTGCAGATCTCTGATCTATAACATCCGTCGGCCACACGAATCCACACGCGCATGCTAGCTCCTGGAGGCAGACACAACTTCATCATTCTGTGTATTTAACATAAATATGCAGTTTAGACTCTCTTAATATATTCCATTCTGGCTGCAAAGCAACACATATTAGTAGAGAATGCTTAGGGAAAATTATGGGAAAGGTTCATTTTCCTACCTTTCCACCACACCCATGGTGGAAATGGTCAGTTTCTTTCCCCTGTGTTCTTTCTCTTTCTTTCTTTCCTTGCTTCCTCCTCCTCTTTTCCTTTTCTTTTTTCCTTGAGACAGGGTCTTTCTATGCAGATCAGGCTGGCCTCAACCTCACCGAGATCCCCCTGCTCCTGTTCCCAAGTACAAGAAATAAGGATGTGCACTACTGTGCACACCTGCATGGCTTATTGTGGTTTTCTATCACAGGTGACTGAGCTCAGGGCCTCATACATACTAGGCAAGGGCTCTATCGCTGTAGTTCCTGTCCTCTTTGCTTTTTTATTCTGAGGTAGGGTCTTGAACCCACTCTGTAGCCCAGGCATACTCAAACTTTTCGTCTTCCTGCCTTAGATTCTGAAGTATTTTGGACTCTAGGCCTGGCATCTTCCACCTTCTTTCTGTCTGTACACTGACACATTTTTAAAGTGTGTGCATGCACCTGTCTGTCTGTCTGTCTGTCTTTGAACTAGATTGTACATTCTGTTTTTGAACCAGGCTGGGTTACTGAGTCAGGCCACTGGGCAGGGCTGTCTGTCCCTCTGCCCAAGAGAACTGGAGGCCAAGGCTGCATGGCTCCCTCTTCTGCCCTAGTGGCTGGTTGGAGGCCTCTGACCTTCGGATGTTCTGTGTCTCTGGCAGACACACAGCAGACACTAATTTTAGCTTGACTTCTGGGGCCTGCTGGCCATGGGGCCTGCATATAATGGACGCCTTATGTAGATGGCTGCCAATAGTGCAGGAAGAAGTGTCCCACCTTGAAATGTTTCTCGTCACCAGCCAGCACTCTGCTGTCGGAGAACAAGCCAGCTCCCTGTTCCTTCTCCCACCAG